TATTTTTTTTTAAATATGCATGGGCTAATAAATATAACAAATATATATAACACATATAATATATATTTTTAGACTATAAAACATAATATAATTCAAAATCTAAATGTTATAAATAAATCTAAACTAACATAAATAATTAAATCTAAACACTTATAACATTAATAGTAGTATATATTATTATACATTAATATTAATATACAACAAAAATATAACATTTAAAAATAAATGTAAATGTTAATCTCAAGTACAAATATAAAAAGGTTCATTTAAATAAATCTAAGTCTTTTTTTAAATATGCATGGGCTAATAAATATAACAAATATATCGCAATTAATTTTTGCACAGCCCTAATATATATATATATATATATATATGTATAATATAATATATATTTTTAGATTATAAAACAATTCAAAATCTAAATGTTATAAATAAATCTAAACTAACATAAATAATTAAATCTAAACACTTATAACATTAATATTAGTATATATTATTATACATTAATATTAATATACAACAAATACAACATTTAAAAATAAATGTAAAAGTTGATCAAGTACAAATGTAAAAAGGTTCATTTAAATAAATCTAAATCTAATATAAAAAAATCTGTTTGATTTCTCAGTTTCACTCACCTTAAATTTAGGTCTTTTGTACTGGTCCAGCTCAGCCTCTAGTATCTCTTCTGTGATTTGGGACTTGGTTTTGAAACGCTGGGACTGGTTTTGGTTTTGGTTTTGAGCATTTGTAAAATTCGATCTAACGTCTACAGGGGCCGGACGGGGTTTCCTCTCTCGTCCAAAGACCACAGTGTCCCAGAGCTTCAGCCACTTCAGCAGACAGCGGTTGGTGAACTATAGAGATAGAAAGACCATGTAAATATTTACAAGGCAAATGCCTGCCAATAATTAGTTTGCAAGTGAGCGTATCTATGACTGACATCATCACTCAGCAGATCGGTATAATGCTGTGGCGAGAACTGATCCACCCACAGCCGCGAGGATGAGCCTTCATCTTGCCCACTTCCACCATCCACACCAGAGTCTGCCTGCTCTTCAGCAATAAGCTCTGGATCGATCCCACTAAAAAGTCATTTCAGAGTTAACATCCGTAGAGATGTACAACAGTTTAGAGTAGAAGAATTGACGGGTGTGATCCACAAAGAAATGTGTACGCACACACCTATTCATAAGTTCTGTCAATCTTTGGGATTCCTCCACCACTTGTCGATGGCGCTGAAAAAACAAAACCATTTCAGAGAGACCCCAAATCATTATTTTAGGTTTGTCTGCAAGTTCACACACAAGGGCTGTAAAATCGATTAATCGCTATAAACACACAAACAAACATATTATATAAACACAGACTTTTATAGATGCGATTAATCACGCTTAATCGATCGTACAGCCCTATCACACACTCTTACTCTCTCTGCAGCTTGTTCTTTCAGCACTTCTATTGGAACCGCAAGCAGTCCTAGTCCATTCAGTGAGTTACGGAAGGCTCTTGGATCTGGTGCCTGAGAAAAAGCATAAGGAAAATCAATAAACCTCACACATTGAACTCCTGCAAGCAGTTAAAATATTTAGCCGTGCCCGAAACCTTCTCCTCATCCTCTTTCTTCTTAAGGTAGACTCTGTTTCCCATGGAGTCCGTGACTGTGATAAAATCTCCAATTGCAGGGGGCCGTTTCTGAGCATGACGTCTAGCTGGGGTAACCCGCCGTGGTGACTCCTGTAATGGTGTCAGTCCACTAATATCTAACACGTTGGTTGTTATTTTTGTGGCTGCTGGTCTATCTGGACTTAGGGACAGGAAAACTGCAGGTCTGTAAAAGGATTAAACAAAAATCAACCAATGGTTATAATGTTATGTTAGATTAACACAATTATATTAACTGTTATGTGCATAAACTTTTACCCATCTCTCACTCGTCTGTTGTAAACCTCTGGGGATGACGGAGGGGTGATGTCATCAGTGTGTTCAACACCAAACTGGAGCTTTTTTGCCACATCTTGTCTTCTTTTCTTGGGTTTAGGAGCTGTGAGAAACCACTAACACCATTAGACACACATAGACATTACTTTTATACACGCTCACAATGTTTGCACTACCTAGAGCTGCATAATTAACCGTTAAAAGAACACAATCTCGATTCAAACATCCATGCGATCTCATTTCTAAATGACGCCGACTCTCCTGTCTATTAAACCTTTGACAAAATCACACCTGAACATTCAGATCTGAGTTGGTTGTTGGTTGGTTCAGATCTAAATTGTGTTTACATAATATATGTGGGTGCACTGTGTATAATTATTTTATATATATAAATACACACACACATGCTTGTATATATTTAAGAAATATTTTCATGTATATAGATTTATATATAATTTATATCATTTATAAATATTTTATATATTTTATATATAATTTTTTTTTTCTTAAATATACATGCATGTGTGTATATAAACAAAATAATTATACACAGTGCACCCACATATATTATGTAAACACAAACTTTTATTTTGGATGTGATTAATCCCGATTAATCGTTTGACAGCCCTAGTTATTTTGTTTAGTTGTTTATTCAGAATCCTGGGAGAATCGTGATCTCTATTCGAAGCAAAAAAAAATGTGATTCTCAATTTAACCTGCAATTGCGCAGGCGATAAATACTATCGCTGTATAAATGTTTAGGGTCAGTAAGATTTTTTTATAAAATAATTACTTTTATTCAGCAAGGACGCATTAGATTGACCAAATGTGATAGAGAATATATATTTTAAAGAAACACTGTTCTTTCAATATTCTATTCAACAAAGAGTTTTGGAAAATGTATCAGTTTCCACAGAAATATTAAGCAGCACAACTGTTTTCAACATCGATAGTAATTGGAAAAATGTCTTGAGCAGCAAATCAGCATATTACAATGATTTCTGACAATGAAGACTGAATAAATGATGCTGAAAATTCAGCGTTGCCATCACAGGAATAAAATAAGTACATTTAAATAGAAATGATTTAAAAAATAATTGAATTTTATAACATTGAACAGTTTTTACTGTATTTTTGATCAAACTTTTTAACCTGTAGCTCTATAACAAAGGCACTGTGTTAATACACAAGTGAGAATATTCAATACTGACTCAGGCATTCCTCCTCCTCCTCCTCCTCCTCCTCATATACTAGAGGTGAGATGCTCTCAGGATGCTCGTTATTTACTGATTTCCTCGATGGCACGTCACCTGACGCAATGGCTTCCTCGAACGTCTGTGGGATTGACTTCTTATTGCGGAACTCAGACACTTTTGCACATGATGAAAGCTCTTCTACAAACACAGAAACATTCACACATTCAAAATGAACAGTTTTAGTGTGTTTTAGTTAAAATTTATATGATTATTTATAAATACAAGACACTGACAACAACATTGCTCAATATATCACAAGAAATATTGCAAGCAATATTGTGTCTTGTATTTCTTGTGATATATTGAGCAATGTTGTTGTCAGGTGGTAAATTGACAAGTTAGTTATCAAATAGTCCAACTAGTTAGAATAGGTTGAAAACTACAAACAAATCACTGTATGACAATGTTTTTTATACATATATATTTGACATAAAATGTCTCTTTTTGTGGTGTCGACACAAATATATTGGCAGTGCAAGAACAAATGTACTGGCATAAAACAAAAACCCTAGATATACCCATTTTTTGTCAGGGAAAACAATCAATTTATCACTTTAGGACCTGTAACATTTAGGCTGAATAAAAATATGATAATAGGCTATCCATACAAATGGTGCATAATGGATGTCATGATCATGAATCATTTTCTGACACTACCAACAGCAATGTTTAATTTTCTTGTGACAATACTATGGTGCAGTGCTATTTTCAGACGGAATATTTACCACAATAATGTACCATATTGGTATTATTCAAAGAATACCGTAATATTACTGTATATTTATACAAGTGTTTTGTTAGTGTTGTTTTTTTATTACGTAAAGTACCTTTACATAGAGTCAGTCAGCCATTGTGCCATAAGGGAGAAACGTTAACTTAACTTGAGACATGAACGTATCTTTCTAACTTACTGTCCAATTCAGCCATGACTTCCAATTCATCAGCAAACTGTTGTTCAAAATCATCTTCAATTCCGTACATTTCGTCATATTCGTCCATGTTTGCGGTCTCGTGTCTGTTTTGACAGGAAATTTACATCCAAATGTGACAAATGTATAAACAAGTGGAAGAGCGTAGTCAGCGTACATTAGAATGGACAACAGAAATTTTCGCGCAAATTTTTTTGTGAAAGTAAGTGTATTTCCGGTTTCATTGTAAGGCCTACATCCGCTCTATAAAAGTCCTGGGCGGACAGCATTTCTGTAAAGCTACTGATAAATAATTATTTTATTGTCTATGGATTTATAGGATAAAACAGAAAGAATTAAATAATTTATCACTGATGTGGAACAAGACAATAGCATGATTAACGTACAAGCGTTTTTTTAACTGTCATTGTGAAATGTATTATAATTATAATTTTACAATAGTTCGAATTAATATAAAATAATGTTATTTTCTGTATGAATGTTATAACTGTATGAACTGAACAATGACATACATTTACATTTTTAATCTATTTGCCTGACATTATCCGCTTCTGATTTGGAAACACACCGACGGGGCGGACCATTACGTAAACAACGAAAAATAAAAAAGCCAATCATTTCGCGAGAACGCGAGTATTTTGCATATGTCTCAGAATGTTACTTACAACAGTAGTGTGAACACTGTTAAAATGTACTTTTAAAATATTTTTAATGTGCTCAAGATTTCTCATAAACAGCTCTGCGATTAAACCAATTTGTTGTATGACTTACAACAGTCTTATCGTTGATTTTGTTTACACTTTTTGGCTACCATCTTGCACATTGATTGTCAGTATTGAAACTATAAAGTCAAGTTGTCTTCGTGTTGTGGTTCGTGTTGTCTAGGCAATACATGTATTAAATTTGGAACGATACAGAGAAGATTAGCATGTCCCTGCGTAAGGATGACTCGCATAATCGTGAAGCGTCTCCAATTTTTTTGCACTTGTTTTGCACTCACATTTCTAAATATTTTCAATTCTTTAAAATATCTTTATCAACTGTATTAAAACGGATTTACGGCTAAAGGCATGAAAATGGTATAGATAAAATAATCATTTGATCGTTTGATTGATTTAAGCCAAATAATGTAAACACATTATGAAATGAATTGTATGTTTTTCATCAAGTTTATTCATCATCTGACAAAAAAATATTTTACAGACTTTTTTTTTTTTTTACGTTAGTGCAATGATAAATTGAAGCAGTTATTTTATTTTAGACGCAAACATATGATGCATATTCTTTTTTTACGAGTAAAAATGTTTCAATTTGGTGGCCATAAAAATCTTACACAAGAGGGCAGCAGAGTTCATCGTATGTAAGGCAATTTGTCACATTTTATTAAAACATTTAGTAATTTATAATGTGTTTAGAATTTTTTTTGTAGAATTGCGTTTACAGGGACTTTAAGTGTTTTAAATATTTTACAAGTTTTAATAACAAGATTTGTTGGTCATAATAATGGTATAACATAATAATTTTGTGTGTTACTTTTTCTTACATCCTTGTTTTATTAAATTGTTTTTTAAGTGTTTTACGGCTATAAAAAAATAAAACCTATGCTAACAAAAAGTCACTGGAGTAAAGATTGTTGCCGCTATTTTACATTATCGCTCTCTATATGTTTTATTCAATTTATATTTACAGGCCTTCCATTATTATTCTTATGGTTTAAATTACTACATTGAGAAAACGACTAAACAAAAAAAGTCATATGCTGTATGTTACTTTTCTCAATATTACACGAGTTAAGAGGTTAATAAAACATTGTTTAAAAAATCGAAACACACCATGAAGAAATGTTAGAAATTGTGTTAGAAATGTACGCCATAAATTTGTCTGGGTGGCTATAATAACACATTTTTTTCTGTGGTGTGACAAACTAAACTCAGAACGCATAGGCCTTAATTTTGACTTTACATGGACTTTAAGTCCGATGGTGGCACTACAATTGCAGAAAACAAAGCGATCAATTATTTTCTATTCCCCCACTTAAGAAACAGAGAGAATATTCTTTGTTGAACTTCGAAAGGAAAAATAGACAAAACATGCCTGTTGTCATCACTTGTCAGGGCCAAACTGTTATTGTTCCACGTGTTTTAAAATGACATCCAGTTTTCTCGAAACTCCGCCTTTCAACTCACAGCCGCGAGACGCCATTGGTCAAACGGTCTGTCAATCAAACAAACATGGCCCTGCCTTTTTTTTCTTCTTTTTTTTTTGCCTTCTAGTTTTCTACTGTATGCTGTTTGATTTGAGTGACATCACCAGTTCCGTCCCAACGCGGAAATGTGCAATATTTGTATTTTTATTATAGGATCGGTTGTCTGGCATGTCACAGACATATACTGAACCGCAACAGTACTGTAAGTGATTGAGTATGTCGCTCTGAATTATTTCCGATACTGTGTGATAATGGCGTTTTGTTGGAGGAGTTTGGAGCTTGTTCGACCTTAGTGTATATTTACTGACACGAACCTCAAACACGCCGCAACTTTAACCAGATTCAGGGAGAGAATGATGGACTGGAGACCGAAGCTGCTGCTGCTTTTCTTGCTTAGCTTCGCAGGAATCGTGTCACAGGTAATAACGGGAAAATAAATCTCATGTTTACCACTTTATGTTGCTGGTCACCATAGGGAATGCACGGGGACAGTGATATGTGTTGATCTATTTTTGGATACGCGGAGGCGGGGTGCTTTGGGGTTCCTGGAATGATAAATAAAAAATAATAAACAAACAAATCAGTATCAGAAAGAGCTTAATATTATTATAATAATAAAATTATTATTAGTTGTAGTAGTAGTAATAATAGTAATAATAATAATGAAATGTGTGTCAGTCAGATTCATTTGTTCGAATCGGTTCAGTCGGACGGTTCGTTTGAACTGTTCACAAATCCCATTCACTCAAAAGCGTTCCTGCGCTGCCTTTTAATGTTAATTTTATAGTGATTTTGTTGTTTTTTATAATTATGTTTTCGAATAGGTATTGTGGGTTGCATTTCGAACTAATATTTGCCATAACTAATTACATTTTTGCATGCATGGAATATTATATAATTGAAAGTAAAATATTATCAATATTAGGCTACAATTTTTTCTGGTATTGTTAACTGCATTATACCTACTTCAGGGTTTTATTCCTGATCAAAGTCATTCCGAACAGTCGAGTGATTTACAAACGATTTGTGAATATTTTCGATCGGATCATTTAAAATAATCAGTTCAAAGGATTCATTTCGTGAATCGGACTTTGTCGGACATCCAAGCAACAAGAGTTTGGAAATCAGAAGTTGAAAACACACCGTAGTAATAGTTTTTTTTTTTTTTTTTTTAAGTTAATTTCTCTTTGTGCTCTTACAATAGTGTCATATTACTCGAGCCTGAGCACGAGACCTGCATGGCCGCGCGCTTAATGGGCTTGTACTGGAGAGCTCGCGCAATGTAACGCATTGTTCCCATGTTCCCAGAGCGGGTGCACAGTGTTATAACAGGAGTTGCTATCTTGTGTGTGGAGAAAAAAAGAGTGGTCAAGAGTGCTATATGATAATTTCTTTTGATAACTTACTGGCTCATCGTGTTTTTTAGGCTTCAGTCTCAGTTTGACCAGAGTAAATATCACTGTTTTATTGCCCTCAGGATGAATCATTCTAAATGTATAGTATTATATCTCCTCAAATACCAAATTATTCTATGCATTAATAAAATAATGGCTTAATAATGGCCTCATAAAAGTATATGTAGTTATGTTGGTGTATTTTGTGCAAATTCTACAGTCAACTTAATTGTAGGCCTTCATTACAGGGTGGACCCAGCTAACAAAAATATGTTAAAAAAGAAAGTTTTGCTATCTTTCCCATTAGGTTATGAAATATATCTGTTTGTTCCCTGAATGTTCAAAACACCCAGTTTTTTTAAACGTTTTAAAATAGTTTTTCTTTGGTTATGCAAATCCACACAGCTGTATAATGTTAGGCAGTTTTTGGTAAATATAGGAGTGGCCTCAAACAACTATGAAGAAGGATATCCTGGTTAATGTCTGTTAACCGTGCTCTCTTTCACAAACACACACAAAACTATGAGAATTCCTTATAGACACAATGGTTTTAATAACATATATTCTTACTTTAACTCTTACAGACATGTGGACTTTTTTAGATTTAAAGCTAACTTGTTTTTAAAAGTCTTCACATGTAGCCAAAATTTATTTAAGTCCACTTGAAAGAAATGATTTACAGGGACATAGTATAGATGCAGTCAAATATGCACATGACCAGTGGCATGCAGCAGATCTTCAATATATATATATATATATATATATATATAATTGTTTTTGGCTACATATCAGGTAGCATTTAGTTTCAAAAAGTCTGATATCTACAGGTGTTTTACTGGTTTCTCTTTCAGTGTGAGGGAGGAAGTTCAGTCTCACTCCCTGAGTCTCTGCTCTTTGTTTCTACACTGGATGGAAGTCTACATGCCATCAGTAAACAGACAGGAGATATCAAATGGACACTAAAGGAAGGTGTGTGTTTGTGTGTGTATCTGCATGTATGTGCATTACAACAAGTGATAACAGAAAGAATATGATCTGATCATTTCACCTTCTCTCTCCTAGATCCCATCATACAGGTTCCTGCTTTTTTCCAAGAGTAAGTGTTTAACAGATTCAGAAACAAAGTTAACATACACTACCATTTAACAGTTTGGAGTCTGTAAGTTTGTTCGGTAACACTTTACAATGAGGTTCATTAATTAAACAGTAGTTAATGTATTAACTAACATGAACTAACCATGAGCAAAACATTTGTTATTGTTTTTGTTAATCTTTGTTACACTAGTTAATACAAATCCAACTGTTCATTGTTTGTTCATGTTAGTTCACAGTGCATTAACTTAACAAGATTTTAATAAAGTATTAGCAAATGTTGAAATTAATATTAACAAAGATTAACAAATGCTGAAGAAGTATTGTTCATTCTTAGTTTATGTTAACCAATGAACTTTATTGTAAAGTGTTACCGTTTGTTCTTTAATATTTTTGACAGAAGTTTCTTCTGCTCACCAAAGCTTCATTTATTTGATCACAAATACAGTAAAAACTGTAATATTGTGAGATATTATTACAAACAACTGTTTTCTATTTTTTAAGCTGGATTTTCAGCCTCATTCATCAAGTCTTCAGTGTCACATGATCCTTCAGAAATTATTCTAATGTGATGTTACAGAAAACAGTTGTTAAAGGGATACTCCACCCAAAAAATGTAATTCTGTCATCATTTACTCACCCTCAAGTTGTTGCAAACCTGTATGAGTTTCTCTCTTCTGCTGAACGCAAAGGAAGATATTTTTAAGAACGACTTTTTTTGTCTTTATAGTCTTTCATCAAATTGTTTCATCATTCCTTTACCAATGACATCGCTTAAGCCATGCAGGCTATTGTATAATGTTATCAATCGCCAATTACCAATTTGTGCATTGTTTTTAAAAATCCTGTATTCAGATCTTACTCCATTCTTGTATGTGATGCTTACTTTTCCCAATCCAACTTATATTCTGTATTTACATTTATTTTTCAACTCTTGTAGGCCAGGCTTTTTACCGGATCCCAATGATGGCAGTCTGTATGTTCTAGGAGGCAAGCATAAAGAGGGTCTGATGGTGAGTGTCACAGGGAGGGCTGTAAATGTTTGTCTGAGACAGTTACAGCTCATGTCATTTATATGAATCTCCTCTGCAGAAACTCCCGTTCACTATTCCAGAACTGGTCCAGTCTTCTCCCTGCAGGAGCTCCGATGGAGTGCTCTACACGGGTAACGTCAAGCACGTTTGTGTGTTTGCAATGTCTTATGGTGAAATCAGTGTTTGATAGTTTTGCTTAGCAACTTAAAGGGATACTCCACCGTTTTTTCATATTAAACTATGTTATTCCCTT